ATTTTAATTTAAATACATGTACCTTCAGTGTCAGTGTACTAGGTTAAAGTTTTTGGAGTATTTTATACTTCTTTGCTTTTTATTATCAGAGGTGCCTGCTTGAAAGATGCCTCTACATGTAGTGTGTTTCATTGAACCAGTCAAGGTTTATGCTGCTATTTCAGCTAAAGGATGACCAGGTTTATATTTTTGGAGCAGGTTCATTCTGAAGACAAAAAATTGATACATCTAAGCATGTACACTATCAGGCTTACTTCGGTTGCTGGATCTGACCTACATTTCCAGATGAGTGACCAGCTGGTTAAGCTGTACCTTTTTAAAGAAAATTCATTTTAAAATTTTGATTAGCCCTTGTTGACCAAACTTGCAAGTTGCATGCATATCACAGTGCTTAAAAGCATCTGCTCGAGAGCTGCAGAGTAAGGAGCTAATCCTTATGTCATGTGTTTAAATCTGCTGCAGAGCATGGAGATTGGTCCTGTAGATTAGATTGCATACATTGAGATCCCGTGTTGCAATAGATGTTGGCACAAAAAAGATACCTTAATGCTCAATGGCCCTGAGGGCTGAGTAAAAGAATAAATTGACAACCCTCCATCAGCAAGTGGTGGCTCTCCATTTGAGTGAAGGACCTTGCTCAACAACAAACCAAACTTGCACGGATGATACATTTTACTTCCAAGGATGCATATTACAGTACTAGACTTGCTTCAGATGCTGGATTTGACTACATACCGGGTATTTCAGGTATGGTTAAAATTCTAGAGCAAACCTATTGTCAAAAGAAATTTTAAGGCTCACTGAACAAAACTTGCTATACTTGCTTTAAACTATGTTTCACGTATGCTAATAAAGCATTGCTATATTCAGCTCTTCTTGTTAATTTGTATTATTTTCTATTTTGCTCGGTGAATTAAAAAAATTCAGTTTAAAACTAGAAATCAATAATTTGCTGTCGGAAAATGTTTTTTTCAATTTTATTTACCGTAATTGTAAAATAAAATTAAATAATATATCTACTCTATAAGATGAATAAGATCAACAAAATTATATTTTCACAATTTTATTTGATTTTAAAAACTTTTTAATTGATTTTTCACTGTCTTAAAAATTGTGTGATAACAATGGTATACATTAAAAGACAGGCATTACAGAACTTCCATACAAATAACAGCTAAGGACATAACGGTGCCAGGGATGTACTCTGTCATACACCTGCAGACGTTAAATTTCAATAACAAAGCACTATACATGTACTTCTTTCATGTGTAAACAACATATCAAACATTTATAAAATGCTTAACATAATTTACTCAACAATGAAATAAATTAAACTCTTAACAAGGTAATAGAAATATCTTGTAGTTCATTTAAAAGCAAACTGAGTATGGTGCATTAATTATAATTAATAAACCCCACCAATGCTATAGCTCCATTAAATTTAAAAAATATCACAGGCACAGATTACAAGAATTAATCTTTGTTATTTTAAGATTTAAATATTAAACTGCATGGTAAGAATGTGGCTAAAGTAATGAGAAATAGAACCCCATGTTCCCATAAAACAAATCAATATATACTCATATAAAACACCTTGTATAAATAAAGGTACATAAATCTTTCAACATCTCTCTCTCTTCCTGCACAGAGTCCAAGGAGAATGTAAAATTCTGTATATATGTATATAAAAGTTAGCCTCGCATACACCTAGATCACACAGTGTTAAGTAAAAGTACTGCATACTACATGTACTATGCAATACTTTGAATCAAACATTTGTGCAGACAAATCATTAAAGATAATAAATGCCTTAGAAAGACTATAAAACCTTATAATCCAGAGGATTTCTAAGTAATTTGATTTTTTTTTCCATGCTTTTTTCCATTTCTTATTTTAATGTCATGACAACAGATAAGAACTGAATTTTTTTCGAAAATCTTTTTTAGGCTTCAAATCAGAGTCTTCTTTTATCTAACATTTTCACAGCCTAGGCTGCTACTTTTTCTGGTTCTTTAGGGGAGGGCCAGTTCACGGGGGACTTCGCTGCAGACAGTTGTTGCAACTCGGGTTCTGGAGATCCTTTGGGGGTTGCAGATTTGACTCTAGAAGCTGGTCGGGGCCAGTCGAGGGGGGTCTTTGCTCCTGTCGCAGGTCTGCCAGCGGGGCTGATGGGGGCCAGTTTGGGGCTGGCCCGCGTGATTGGCTCAGGGTTTTTGGCCCCTGACCTCTGAGAACCATTAACTGCTACATTGGAGGCAGTAATTGGGTCTAATGGAGCCAGAGGGGAGGAGGGAGGGATGGGATCCAGGGGTTTGGGAGGTACCCCCTCCAACCCTTTGTCTGCATCCATGTCAGCTTTTACTGGCAGTGGGTCAGGCACCTGTTTAGAGTCATAGTATTTTAAGTGTGCACAACAAAATTTGTTTTTGTTGACATATTAAAAGAAATTCAAACAATTAATATACAGTTGAACTTTGGTATCTCTAACTCTGATATCCCAAATACCATGGAATATGTCCAAGTGATGTGGAAGTCCCAACCACATATTATTTAATTATTTTACCCTCGATATCTTGAATACTCGTATATCTCAGAAGTCTTTTCTCAGCCCCATCAGGTTAGAGATATTGGAGTTTTACTGTATAGCAAAATATATAATTTTAAGTAAAATAAATATGAAAAAAAATTGAACTCACATGTGGCCTCTTTAGTTTTCCACTGAGGATTATGTCACCATCTGTCTTGCATCTCTCTAACCTCACTTGTGAATGAAAAGCTCTGGCAGTGCTGTTCATCATTTTATTGCCTGAAAAATTGTTATCTTCATTATGACATTTTTCATTGAATAAACAATAATAGCAAATGCCAAATACTGCTGAAGTCATATATATAAACCATGGAATTGAAATGAGAACAGTTTTATTACCTGGTATATGTAGAGGCATGTCCCATGTACCAACGAAGTTTCCCCATGGAGATTCCCTTGACCTTTTAACCCCTTGAAGGAGATGACCTCTGTTGCTAGCTACAATTTGTGTAAATCCATCAAACGCTCTTGGCCTCTGAAAATTAAAATGATGAGAATTCTTAACTAAATAGCATTCTGCTATATTTGTTGTAAATGATTTAACATGTTACAATAAAAATATTAATTTTGGAATATTTTATTTGGAGATACATTTACTTTTTTCATAATATATAGACACTTACTTCTCGAAACTGTTTAGGGACCTCCCAGTTCTGTAAGCGCTTGGGATGAAATGCCTGATCATACTGAAACATTGGAAATAAAAAAAATATATATATTGTATTACTTCATAAGCACTGAGAAGCATATGAATCTCTTGATTGTCGAAGATGTCATTAAAAGAAGTTTTCATGGCTTTGGAGCTGTTATTTTAGTTTTGAAATTGAATTTGTAACATGATAATATGCAACATTTCAATTGCATTTACGGTAAATGCAGGCATGAAGCACAGAGCATGCAGATATTGATTGCATCGTGGGTATTTCAAATGTTAAATTCATTCTGAATATTTCACAAATAGGGTTAAATTAATTACCTGCACATAATATACATAATCTATTGAATCTATTCATGTATGCAAATACATGTACTACTAACAGTAGTCCAATTTAAATATGAAAATATACCATTGGATCATAGACCATGAACTGCAGCTCACCTGAGCACTTTTGCAAGGAAGAATTTAGCAGAATTCATTTCAGTATTGAAAAGTTTAATATACATGTATTAAGTTTTTTTTCATTATAATTGAATCTACACCTTTTGATGATGCTTTCATACATGGTTTGCTGTTCATGTGAAAATGATTTTGAATAATTTCTGTGTACATGTATTCTGAATTCATTTATGAAACTTTGATTACTTTCTGGTAATCATATTGTTGCTCCATCCTACCCCTCAGGGATCATAAATTGAGCCATCTTGAATCTACACAGGGGATTATGTTTCCACAAAAACTTTAATGTTTTTCTATACATTGGTTCTTGAGAAGAAGATTTCTAGAATATGTCATTTTTTAAATTCCTAATTATCCTCTCTTTGAAGTGAGTGAAAAATAGTTTTACAATATTTCAATGAATCATGCAACATTATTTTAATCACTCTTACTTAAAGCCAAAAAGTGTAGGATATTACCGGTAAAACTTGACAATATTTTTATCTTATGAAAGAACAACATATTTAAATATTTTTTATATGCGAGTTTTATCTAATACGTTATATGTAACAAATGCAGCAAAAGAAAAGACAAACAAAACACAATGACAAAGGCTTTTATATTTAACATATCATTCTAGTCTAGGCCTTTAAAACATATGCCATTTTATAGTATGCATTCGCGAAGGGAATGCCTAATTGAAGACCTACAGGTAATTGAAGACCTAGAGAAGACCTACGGAAGACCTACAAAAATGGGGGATATATACAGCAAAACTGATATGATATTCTGATTAAGCATGTCCTAAATATATAAAATACACAAAAAAGTTTTATAAAAAGAAGTTTTAAATTGTATTTTTTAAGCTCGGTAAGGGGAACTATTTCTTCTCTCAGAAGACCTACAGCAAGAACGATAACTCGCGTAAATAACAAATCAGCTGTTCACCAAAACATATCAAGAAAATGTAATTATCAGAAAAATGTAATTAAAAAATTATATTTAAGGACGGAAAAAAATCATTGGAGATACTTTATATACATACATCAAAGATAAAAAAAACAAATAAATGCAATATTCAGTCAGATACAATTCTATTTTGTTAAAAAAAATAATTAGTTATCAAAATCAATAAAATTGTAAACACTGTACATAATTTATAATACCATCATATGTCAATCATAAAATCATTATAAATACATACACTTGTATATAAGTTGTATTTAGTATTTCATAAGTGTTTATAAATAGATCAGTATAATATTTAGTTCTGACTTCAGGTTTGAATTGTTGATCATTAATAAAAATTCATTGTGATAGAATGATTTGTGTTCTTGTTATTAATAATACCTAGTAATGTCATTTATAACATCTGGAATTTTTTAAAAGATTTGCATTTATGTAGAGAATGAAAATTTTAAAATTGCAGTTAAAAGAATTTGAAGTAATTTTTCAAGAGGAACACAGACATAATCACTTTCAAAATCTTATTTCCCCCGAGTCAAAGCATCACAATTTTTTTTAAAAATATGCATGCATTTCTTATGTGTGATAACATGCATGTTTATTATTTTATTCAATTTTAAAAAGTGTATATTTTCTTTTAATTTAATTATTGAATGATATACCTGCCAGGTATCTTCAAGATTGATATAATGGACATGTATATTTTGGCTCAAAATGTAAAAGAAATAAAACCTCATGTTTCATATCATAGTACCTATTTCTTGGCATACAGCATGTTATCTGGAAATATACATTTAATTAAGTTATTAAATATTCCTCGTGAATGTCATATAAATGTGTTATATTGAAAAAAGATGACCATTTTGAATATTAAGAAAAAAATTCAAAACGTAATTAATTTTAGTAAGTTATATTCGGAATAAATGCACAATAATTTTATTTGTTTATTCTTGCTAGCATTTTTAAGATATATAATAAATATTTTTTTATGTCTTTGCTCTGTTGACTGCAAGTTAACATTCATCAGAGCAAGTGGGGTGTGTTGATAATTGCAATCAAAACACGGATATATCCTCAGGGTGTCTGTGTATACAACAAATTAGTGAAGATCGAAGCCCTTAGTACAGAGTAATATTGGTTAATTGAGACAAATCCACAGCATACATATCAATAGTTTGAACTTGAATATTTAATATTTATCCCATAAAACATATTAAAAGAATTACAATATTTATTAAATATTAACTATAGATTTCAAGTAGAATATTAATTTGATAAATGAAGTAATCATGATAATTATTTATATTTTTAACTTCATCAAAATTCATCATCCAGCTTATTTCTTTATCATAATTCATAATTGAAAAACTCAACAAAATCATTTGCAAATTTTTTTTTTTTATTTTGTCATATACATATTCTGCCTATAAACTTCACAATATAAATGAGCGTGTTGTTGTTTACAAGAGAAGTCAGCCAGAGTTATCGTTCTTGCCGTAGGTCGTCTAAGAGAAGAAATAGTTCCCCTTACCGAGCTTAAAAAATACACTTTAAAACTTCTTTTTATAAAACTTTTTTGTGTATTTTACATATTTAGGACATGCTTAATCAGAATATCATATCAGTTTTGCTGTATATATCCCCCATTTTTGTAGGTCTTCCGTAGGTCTTCTCTAGGTCTTCAATTACCTGTAGGTCTTCAATTAGGCAGGCCGTTCGCGAATGTTCCATCATTTCTTTTTACCCCTTTAGTTTTAATTATACTGCTTGAAAATAAAAAATAAACTGCTCATTGTCTTCCTATTTTGAAATGATATTTGTTGCATTTATTAAACCTGTAATCAATAGAGCAACATTGCTTTTTTAAGTGCATTGATGCTTTGATAACTCAACCGAATGTAGGCCAGATGAAGGATGAATGAATTGACTGTGTGATGATTTTCCTCAGCAGTGCGGTGTGAACTGAGTCTTTATTTCAATGTATTGCCTACCTGATTGGCACTGAAATGTAACGACATCACGGTAGATTACAGATAAACACGGACTGATTGAATGCTGGCCTCTCTCGCTGGGCTACTTCGTCAGTGAACAAAATCCTCTTGTTCCCAGTCACACTACCATAACAAAGCTGTCAGGTTGCTAAGGATGCAAGTTCCGCAGTGAATTTAACTCTTTTTTGAAAAATTAGACAAATTGAAAGGCTGATCAAAATTCTTTTTTCAATTTGGTAAAAAAACATATAACATACTAACCGAATCATCTCTTTCTAATCATTTACTTAATGAAACCGATAGGGCTGTACATTCTCTGCGATCCACTCACTTCCGGTCGGAAAAGACACGAGAGACAGCGACGATGACACTTTTCCACTTTGGAAATTGTGTGGCGCTAGCTTATGTGCCTTATGCAATTGTTTACAAATGTTCAGGATTGTAAGTTCATTGTTAAGCTAAACTATATCCTTTACAATTTCAAGATATCTCTGATATCTTGCTCGAACTGGACAGACAACCGTTGTACACTCATTCTGAATTTTCTCAGTTGTGGCGTGTGCACGGCTACCAATACGGATGACACACACCTCTGATATTCGGAGCTCTGAATAAATTGAAAAGTTTTGCATATGACAGACATCGTAATTTAAGCAAAATGAATGTAGAAACATAATTTTAGTGCAACACTTTTAAGAAAGTGGAAATGTAGAAAAACCATAGGCGCTTGGTTTCAGGATGGTGTATTTTGTGTTTTATGTGTTTTTCTAGGTGTGTCTGAATACCTTCATCAAAATAAAATAAAAAATTCGCTGAAATTAGCATGTTTTAAAATGTCATATTCACTGTATATAAAAAGAGTAAAGGAGTGTCACTCTCCATCTTGAAAATGAGGGGGTACCTCGGTTCACACTAGATTTTCATCTATATCTACATTTTTCCTACTGGTTTGGGTGAGATCTAGCTTTAAAAATGATTGAATGACAACTCCCTTTCATCTGTTGACATACATAAGCCGTTTTAAACATGCAGTGAACCGAAACGTCCTCGATTCTTGCACCTAAGGGCAAAACGATTACACGTGTAAACGGCAACGTTTCGATTATATGCTCTAAACGTTTACAGTTTGAGTAAACGTTTACACGAAGGTCATTATCTTTGTCTATAATCAGAAATAAAGTTTAACACAAACAAATTGTTTTATTTCATAATTTACAAAAGAAACACCGTCTTTGACCATTTGATAAGCAACAACCTAAACCGGAAACATATTGAATAAAAATATCTAAAACCTGACACGGGCTAACATAATTAATTCCGATTTCCGAGTTGCCAATACTAGCGATGTTTTACGACACTTGAAATATAAAACTTGATATATTTTGAATAAATAAATATAATACTTTTTTCTCAAGTCTTTGAAAAGTTTCGATACAGTCAGCAGGCCTGGGGACCATAAAACTGAGACAAGCTCAATTTTGATCTAAGTCTCACTTTTTCACTAAATATTCCTTAGGAAAAAGTAAGACTGAGATCAAAAGTGAGCTTGTCTAAGTTTTATGGTCCCCAGGCCAGGTCTTGTTTTACTTTTTTCGAGATTAAAAGATCTATCTTTACAATTCTTTTCTCTACGTCCAGTAGCCAAACAAACCAAGCAGTTGGGTGACGAGGTAGAACGTGAATGAGTTTAATGCGCCTCAAATTCTTACGTTTAAGTCATAATGACCAACAATGAAACTGTTATTACAACTCATACTTATATTAAAGTGAGAGAATTGATTATTAAATTCGAGTTTCATGAGTAAGTACCATAAAAATCCAACATAGAATATCTCCCGTTTAAACGGTACCATTTCGTTTACTGCTATCCGTTTAAACGTTTACAAAATTCAGTAAACGTTTCACCCCTACTTGCACCTGTTTATCGAAAGCAACGGAAGTGCCGATTTCTAACGATGAAAAATGTAGAGGCGTCCCAGAATTACATGGAAAATCTAGAGAGGTCAAAAACCACGCCAAAATTGTGCTATCTAGATTTTCCTTGTAATTCCATGACGCCTCTACATTTTTCATCGTTAGAAATCGACACTTCTGTTGCTTTTTAATTTTATTTTGATGAGAATATTCAGACACACCTAGAAAAACACATAATACACAAAATACACCATCCTGAAACCAAGCGCCTATGAGAAAAACGGGGATTTTAATTGTATCAGGAAAGGAGCAATTGAATTGGATTCAGCATTAACCCATTTCCTTCGTGATACAACTGTAGTCATCATGTGCGCTACCTTCGGAATACCACTACAGTCGTTGTTTTCATACAAGCGTCTTAGAGGCCCTTGAATTACTATGTAAAAGCCCCGTATGAATAAAACGTTTGCATGATTTAGGCAGTGGAAATTTCCCTTGCTCATGCGCATTAAAAATGAAACTAGATACCTCGTTTTTTGGGGAAATTTTGGTTAAAACAAAGAAAATCAGAGTCACTGACGCGATCGTAGTTTCAAAATGGCGGAGAGAGAAGAAGGACTGAGCGATGGTAGTGATATTGAGGGAGATTATGACGAACAAGAAGAAAATATTGCAGATGTAGAAAGAGAAATCATTCGTGGAGATGTTGATGACTGGATTCACAACATTTTTCAGGAGGACAGCGATGACGAAGCTGATTTTCTGGGCTTTCAGAGCGAATGGACGTCTGAAAATTTCCATCCACGTCTTGGAAATGTCTTCAGAAAAATTGGTGGTGCGACAGTTGAGCATCCGGAAGAGGCGTCAGCCGGACAGTACTTTGAGTTATTTTGGACTAACGAACTTTTAGGCAGGTTAGTTCAAGAAGCGAATAATTATGCTCAACAAGAACGCGAGAAAACCCCACCCCCTCCATTTGCTCCAAAATGGACGCCTGTTGACAAGACGGACATCAAGGCGTTTTTAACCCTATGTTTTGCTATGGGCATCCTCAGATTGCCAGACAAAGCAGACTACTGGAGACAAAACAAATGGATGTTTGTGACGAATTTCAATAGAGTGATGTCCAGGGACAGATTTTTTTTGATCTGGAGATACCTCCACCTGCAGAATAATGAAATTCAGCCGGACACACCCGACAAACTATGGAAGATCCGTTTTCTTTTGGACTTTCTAAATAAAAAGTTTGAAGAAATGTATGTGCCCTATGGGAATGCGACGGTAGATGAAAGTATGATTAAATTTAAGGGCAGATTATCCTTTCGTCAATACCTGCCCGCAAAGCCAGTCAAATGGGGAGTGAAAGTCTGGGCACTGGCTGAAAGCGATACCGGATACCTGAGCAAGTTTCAAGTATACACGGGGAAAGAAAATCACCAAGAAAAAGGACTTACTCATAGAGTTGTAATGGACCTGTGCCATCATTATTTTGGATCCAACTTGTGTGTCTACATGGACAATTTTTACACAAGTCCGGAACTTCTGAACGACCTTCACATCAGAGGAATCATGGCTTGTGGAACAGTACGTGTGAATAGAAAAGGTCTTCCTAAACACCTACTCCAAGCAAAGTTGGTCTTCAGAAACATGAATTCAAGGTTGCGCAGAAAGACAACCTGACTTACTGCGTATGGCAGGACACTAAACCAGTGACAGTACTTTCCAACTTCCATGATCCAACCCACCGTGGTCAAGTTTCAAGGAGGGCAGCCGAGAATCGTGTCGTTCAAGTCCCACTCATGCTGGCCGATTATCAAAAGAACATGAAAGGAGTGGATCTCTGTGATCAAATGGTGGGGTATTACCAGCTAAACCACAGGTCAAAGAAATGGTGGCGCCGCATTTTTGTTTACTTGATGATGGCATCGGCCCACAATGCATACATTGTCGCTAAGGACATTCACACCTACGCCGCGAGGGAGAGGTGGCCAGGATTCCAAGATTTTATTGAGGAATTGGTGGAAGATCTGATTGGTGACACCAGGGCTAGAAGGGAGCCACCAAAAGTTGACTGTGGGGGCAGGGCTACTGCCCATGACATTGTGAAAATGTTTCCAAAGAACAAGGTGTGTCGCGAGTGTTCGCTTTCTGGGCCGCAGGGACAGAGAAAAGGAGTGACAAAATTTGGGTGCCAGCAGTGTGATGTTCCAGTGCACTTAGAGTGCAGTTCTAAACATATTATGAGAATGTTGAAAAAGTGAATTATGGTTAGGAATGTGTGATCATATGGAAAATTATGTGGACGTAGTGTTGTTTTTTTTTTTTTCATAAATTTTATGTAAGTACATTGAAGTTTGAACTTTTTAAAATAGATATTTCTTTTTATTCATTATCCAACAGTATAAACACTTTAAAAAACAGATTGTTATAGTTAAAATTTGTTGTTAAAATAATTTTTTTCTTGGTTATAGTAAATTTGAAGCAAAGCAAATATATGATGTTTATGTCAAGAAATACTCCATTTTCAAGAAATGTAATAACTTTTTTATTCTTCAAGATATTTTTATTCTGTAAACTGTATTTGAAGCAGAAATAGTTGTTTTATGAATTTATGCAAAAAAATGTGCTGTTTACATTCACTTCATTTGAGTAAAATGCATGTAAATAAAAATAATTTTTAAAAAAAAATTGTGTTTACAAATTTTCTTTTATTTACTCAAAGTATTATTGAGGATAATATTGCTTCTGCTTTCTGAAAATTATATTGTAAGATGCAGAATTTTAAGAGCTTTTAGAAAATATATACTTTATTATGTCTCTAGACAGTAGTTATCTAATTATCCGGCAGATTGTAAGCATGGTGCTAATTGACTTAGCATTCTCAGCAGCAGCTCTGTTATCCTCCATACTACTGATAAGCCCAGCTGAATTGGCTGCAGAAGGAAATGGGTTAAACCTCACCTGGAACCCTTACTTACTTTTTATTTTTTTTACAGGGCAGAATACAGTGCCTTTTGGAAATGTGTACAAGCAGGAGCAGCTTATCTATTTACACAACTCTGTAAAATGCTGGTATTGGCCACTTTTTTCCCATCCACAGAATTTTCTCCAGAGGGAGTAGATATCCTGGGGGTAGGTCTCCAGAATGCTTGGATATTTTTAAAATATAATATCAAATTTATATAACAAAATATAGTTAAAAAAAAGGTATTTTGATAAAAAAAGGATTAAAGA